TCATTTTAATACCATACTGTGGAACATTCCAGGCAAAGCAATGACGTCACCAGGGAGACAAGCATATAACGGACCCTCCACCAGAAATGTTGTTTACTTGATCAAAACTACAACTACTTAAACATACCTCCAGAATATTTCTTATTCATAATTTAATCTGCTGCCTCATCTCTTTTTATTGAGTTTGAACATCTTCTAAAACAGAAGATTTTACTATATACTTTTAATATTTATTTCACTGTTGATTTTGTGTATGATGCTTATGAGTAGTGTTTAGAGATCAACTAATACGGTTCTTCATTGTCAATATGATATGTTCTGCCGATATTTTTTGGGCAATATTTGGGGCCGATTTTGATTATTTTCTCCTAATTCTATAATTTACGTTTAGTACAAATTCAACCAGAGCCCCTTTTACCACAAATCCATCAGAGAGCTGTGTAGTCACGTTTTATGACTTCTCTCTTCGCGTTAAAGTGTTAAAGTAAATAAAGTCTTGTGTGTACTCTTGAGGCTGCAGATCGGCCAAAATAAAGTATCAGTCTGTGCTGGAGATTTAAGGCTGATACCAGAGCAATTAAAAGTACAAATATTGGCCCAACTGATATAAGTCTATCTCTAGTGTTTAAAAGGGCCCATATCAAGATATTTTCTGATCTGTTGTTTTCTTAAAAACATACCTGGAGTTAGGTTTTGTTAGCTAGGCTGGTGCCACCTAGTGCCTCCACTCATTTCATTTCTCTCCAGCGACTAGGACAGGAATTGGAATACACTAGATGGTTTGCATGAACCCCCGGAAGTGTGAGTCCGGGCACCAGCCAATCAGCGAAGAGTCATACATTCTGTGTTGGCAATGATTCCCAAGATTGAGGATTTAAAGCCGGAACAAAGAGAATGTTTGGTGAATTTTATCAAGGGTAAAGATGTTATTGCCCTTCTTCTTCTTACAGGATTTGGAAAAAGCTTAATATACCAGTTAGCCCTGTTAGCAGCGCATTACATACGTCACGACCAAATAGCAGTGACTGGTTAAATAAAAAAGTCCCCATCTACCGTCAAGCGAATGAATTCTAATGCTGTGAAGTCAGACGGTTTGCACAAAGTGAAACCAGCTGCGGAATCAGGCTAGTGTTTTGCTTCATTCATGCAAACCCTGCCTATTTAGACTGAGTTCTCGTCTCAAACTGAAAAAACTCCTGTTCCACCTTGTGATGTCACGTGGTAATACAGGAAGTGCCGCACTCTGTTTTAAAAATCTATACACCTTCATTATATAGTTTTGATGATTTCATGGGTGGAGTTGCCAAACTACTGAAAGGTAAAAGATTGCCATTAAATTGAAAACTACCAATACATGACATCACAAGGTGGAACAGAGCATTTTGACCTCTGGACATGTAGAGAGACTAATAATGCAAGTTTACTCAAACGTGTGTGAAACAAAACACAACTCCAGGTATGTTTTTGGGGAGGTAACAACATTCTAACTTGGCTAAAAGTTCATGAGTCAATTTTGTGTAATATAGGACCTTTAATTCACAATTTACAGTCTGTTAATCCTACAACATCTTCTAAATTTTATGTCTACATTTGTATACTCTGCCTTGTGACCCTCTAATGAAAGCATAGAAAAAGGGTTTTTCATATCTATTAAGACTATGGCCTATTATGTAACATTACTTTGCAGACAAATCGAGTAGAAAATGAGTAAAACTCTTCATTTTCTGTTGGCTCAGTGTGGTACAGTTGGCGCTGCCACAGACTGTCTCTATGTCTAACACAACAGCTGCGTGCTATTGTCAGATTCATGAATGGGCCTTTATGCTCTTATTTTTACCTGTTTTATTCCCTGCAGACTGAAACCAATGAGCCTCAATGGGCTTTGTGGTTTGTTCATTATCTCAGACACATCTTACCACATCTGACGCAGCAGCTGTCATCTGACATCGCCCCTGGTCACATGGCAGAGATAATGGAGCACAAGAAGTTTAATCAGCATAAAAACTAATGTGTAGCCTAGCAAAAATGATGTTAGTTTTGTTAATCGTACCTGTATTTTTTCATGTTATTATCCACCTTAGATTTCATCTTAAAGGTCCTTTATTACACAAAATGGACTCTCGTGAGCTTTTAGTTTTGTGAGAATGTTACCTCAACTCCAGGTCTGATTTGATGAAGAAAGAACCTTACAGCATACAAGTAGATCACACAATAGTGTAATATGGGCCCTTTAATAATATAGTAGAATAGAAACTGCAATAAGACGTTTACAGAATCCTTTCCATCATCACCAAGATTGTTTTTTGGTGCCCTTAGCTGCAGGTCAAAACACAATAATCTTGAGCTCAGTTTTGGAAATACTTTGACTTGTTTAGTTCTTAATATTTCCAATACAGGATATTTGTCATAGTACCCTCCAAATAAAGGCGTGAAAGTAAAGATATGTTTGTTTTACACATAATCTGAATCACTGTGGGCTCATTCTGGGTAAATAGTACATTGATAGTGATGAGTAATAGTAACGTCATGTTTTGTTTTGTTTTTCAGTCTAATTTCTCGGATGCTGCAGAAGGATCCCACCAGTCGTGCGACCCTGGATGAGATCGAGGCTCACGATTGGCTGAAGGGACTGGATGATGCCCTACTGACCCCCGAGGCCCCGCCCTCCTGGCTGACCGGGGCTCTGTCTCTCAGCTCTCCTCGCTCTGCTCCAGAGAGCGGGGACCTGCTCGCTGCTAAACCCACCAATCACCTGTCACCTTTCCCCGGACCATGGCAGCCCAGTCTGAGCGCTCCCCAGAGGGCAGTCCCTGAACCGGACCCCCCAGCCCCAAAGAGTGTCCCAGCACTGCAGCTGATCTGTGAGGAGGAGGAAGAGGAGGAAGAGGAGGAGGAGGAAGAGGAAGAAGAGGAAGAAGAGGAAGAAGAAGAGGAGGAGGAGGAGGAAGAGGAGGAGAGCATGACAGAACAGGGCTCACCGCTGCTTTTGACACAAACTGAGGAGAAACTTAGTGTTGACATAGAGAAAAGAGAAACCGATGAAACATTGAAGGAGCCCGAGGAGGAGGCTGTGGACAGTGTGATTTCTGAGCAGCCCATGAGTCTGGGAGACGTTGGCGCCTCTAGTGCAGAGTGTGTTTATGAGGCAGACCCAGTGAGCCTGCAGTGTGAGGAGCCCAACAATAACAGTAAACCTGCCCCAGTCCCCTCTGCTCCAGCCCTGTCTTCCTCTGTCTGTCTGGACTCCAAAAACACATATGCAGCTGAACAGGAACTAGAGCAAAGTGCAGAGGAGGGCTGCAGAAAGGAGCTCTCAGCTGACAGGCCACAGTCCCACAACCCAGACATTGCCCCCCGGGCAGACACAGCCAAACGGCACAGCTTAAAACTACGTGAAAGAATTTTCCAGTTTCCTCTTTGTGAGAAAGCCCTGGCGTTTAATATCCCAACTCAGAACAAATCCAAGATCATGCCCTTGGCTCAGTATAACTGCTGCAGAGTCCTATAGACTGAAGGACTCCAAACAGTCACCGAGTAACAATTTGTGCCTGAGATAGGCCAACCGAACTTTAGAGGAAACTCATTCGCTGCTGTGTACAGAAGCTCACACATGCGCAAGACTTTGCCCCTGTCCAATCTTAGCATAAAAACTCATGGAAAGAAAAGAGAAAGAAAATGCTCAAATGTTGAGACTTAGAACATAAAATATTGTAGAGAAATAAGCTACTGTCTTCTTGTTCATAAGGTGCCTAATTGGGTTTGTTTGCATCCATCTTGTCTCTGTAACTCTGACTAAGTTGTAAAATACTGCCCATCAGGCTGCTCCAGCACTAGCTCTAGATGGGTTTTTAAAAGGCTATAAATATTTAATATGTAAAAACAACCAGCTTGAGCTACCTAGTAGCCACTGATCCATTCCTTTTGCACAACTTGCTCCATGTGGTTGAATGAAGCCTCTTAATATAAGCTCTTATTTGTAAAGACTGAGACTGTTACATGATATGCTGATGTATCTATGCTCAATGGTCATGTGTTTTTCACAATGCCCTTATTGGACTTTCTGTTCTTATACAACTGTACTATACATTGTATAATCAGTGACTATTGGTGGGATGCAGGCCTTTCATTCTGCTGATAAGTTTGGGTGTGCTGCGTATATCAGAAGAACAATGTTTGATTTTTTGACAAAAGTTACATTTCTGAACATGAGAAATGTGATATGCATGTTGTTGATAGTACTGTTATTTATGGCGATATACCTCTGTGTGATGAGTTTGTGCTCCTGTATTCTTGATTTGCACAAGTGTGACTACTGTAGTTGCTAGCCATATTTTGGCAGCATCATGATCACTGCATAGACCAAACAGCAGACTCCTTTATATCATTTCCATCTTTTTTTACAGTGTATTTTGTGTTTTTAAATAAGATTTTAAAAAGTTATGCTAACAAAAGCCAAAGTGTATGCTGCTTTGGTCAATCTGCTAGAGTCCATAGAAATTAGATTTTGAGCTTGTGACCTGTGATCAGCTGGTCATTCCCAACAGAAAGAGGATGTCATGTGACTTTATAATCTGTGGAGAAGAGGTTTGTAATCCTGTCAATGCTCATGAGCAACTGCATCTTGCCCTGTGCCCATGGACCTAAACCTGGTGCCCTTCCTCTGGACCTATTTTTTCTGAATTAATTTATTAAAAAAGAATATAAAATGACCACTGTGTGATGGTACTTTGTGCACATCTAATAACAGACACAATAACAGCTTCACTTCATTACTTTATTATAAAATAGAACATGCATGGCTGACATTTTCTTGTGAATTCAACAAGTTAACCAGTTTATAGTGATTTGAAACAGCTGTGTAGGCCTTGTGTAGAAGCCAGTGATTTAAGAGCAAATAGAAAGTATAGTCCATCTATTTACTTCATTATGAGGCTAAGGTTCACAGGAATAAAGCACATAAGTGCTCAATTATCATGCTGTAAGTTAATTAGTATTTCTCATTGGCTGTAACATTTAGTATATTGTTGCACAAAGAGGTAAAGCTGCCATCCCTGAGAGCCACTCTGTTTCTCTTGTTAATGTTATTGGTGTAATAAAATAATGTAAAATACAGATACACTGTAACTGTTTTCCTTTGGTTTCTCCAATACTGTGATTACAGTATGTTTTACTGGGACCATCTTTGTAGCATACCACACAATACAAACATTAAATAAAACCATTAAAAGACCAGAAATATAAAACAACAGAAAGGTAACAGCCTCAGCTGTAGCCACAACATTCAATTTTGACAAAACTGGGGATTGCACACACACCACTGTGACCATATACAAACACAATTTTAAGGCAAAGTTACAGCTCTGCAATTTGACTGCCATTACTTGATCTGACCACAAGATGGCAGTAATACTATCAACTCAATTTCTTAAATGAACGTACTGAAAGGTGCACTGTGTAAATTTCAGATGGAGAATCCCTGCTCACCTTCATAGAAATTGCATAGTTTTGCTTTTGAAAGTTCCACAGTATAGCATAAAATTTATCCACCTTGTATTTATTCAATTACAATTTTATTTCTCCAAAATACTTTGAAAAACCTGAAAAACCTCCTCAGATTTGACCTGTAACTTGACTGGCTGCACACGTTTGTCTCCATGGGAATACAGTAGATAAGCTTAATGCCATACTGAGGAATATTCCAACAGTAACATTCCATGGAGGCAAACAAGTCGCAGGCTGTCCACCACCAAAAAAACACAGTGCACTTTTAAGATTTTTTCCTCACTAGTCATCTTCGGTAAAAGTCTGTCTATAAATACATACGATCTTCTGAATATTTGCTAAAAGGTGCGTTTCAAGCTTTTTAGAGTCTTTTTTTCAAGCCTTACCAGCTTTCGTCAGCCGTAGCATGAGATACAATACAGTGAATTCACATAAGCAGGTGGTGGAAAGCCCTGGTGTGTGCACTCCTGAACACTGCTGAAGCAAAGAGGCCTACACTTTGAGTATCTGGAGGCACAGCGGTTTGCAACACTGCGGATGGTACAAGAGTCAGCATCTTCAAAGCACCTTCAGGACTGTCCCAGGACTGTCTTCTGTAATGAGAGAAGCAGGGGTGTAAGAGAGGAAACATAAACAATAAAGTGTACAATGGTGGAAGAAGTACCGTATTCAATTTTGTTTCTTAAGTAAAAATACAGATACCTGAGCAAAGAAAGACTCAAGTAAAAGTAAGTGTCACATGAAAAAATCTACTAAAGTAAAAGTATTTCAGTACCTGTGTAAAAATGTACTTAAAGAGTAAGTATTTCATACAGATTGAGATCTAATAAAGATTCAAGTGTATTGATTTTTGCTGAATTTGGTAGAAATTATCGTTTTTTTCTAGCTGTTTTTACTTGTATGTTTCTGTTTGCTCAAATTATGAAGGTGTTAAAAATAAGCCCTCTAAGACTTTTTAGCAGGTCTCACACAAATAATAAAAATACTTTTACTTTTCAGTCCAGTTGAAAAATGTAGTGTAGTAGAAAGTACAGACACCTGCTCTCAAATGTAGTGAACGAAAAAATTAAAAAGTATCCACTCTGTGTCTGTACTCAAGTAAAGTACAGATAGGGCCTAAAATACCTAAACAATATACTCAAGTACAGTACTTTATAACTTTTATTTTTTGTTACGTTCCACCACTGAAAGTGAAGTTAAGTGCAAACCTGCTGCCTCAGGGCCTGCATTGATTTAAACTCTATATGAAGCCTCTTTTTCTTGATCCACCCTGGTTCATCCGGGATCAGCACAGACAGCACCACTTTTACAAGAATGAGAACATGCTGCAAAGAGAAAAAACAGGAGTCCAGTCAATACTGATACTGATGTTATCAACAAGCACAGCTCGATCTGAGGCTTGTTAGACTTTAATCTGAGCTTTATTTTAACACAATCTGACCAGAAAGAATAGCCTTAGTTGGAATCACAGCGCCAGTCTCACTCACACAAAATTACACTCACAAGCAACAGTTTTTAGTTTTTCACTCTCAACTTTTTTTTTGAAAATCAAACACCTAAACACGACCACAAGTGCTTGAATTGATCACAGGCTCCTGAAAATGTGCTGTTTATTTATTTTATTTTTTTCAGACTATTCTAAAACTTATTTTATGCCAAAGTGTGCATTGTGTCTCCATGGTGACTGCTGAACAATCCTCCATAGAGATACATGTAGAACACCACCAGCATCATGTCACTGCAAAGTACCAATATAATACATTTACACATAGTTTTATGCATATTTAGGTTTCTTTGGGGACATTGGAAACTGACTCAGTTCATATCTTCAAACATATTTAAACCCAAGCTGAAAGAATTGGACATTACACAAAAAATTTGTCCTTATATTTCATGTTTCTTCTGTGCTTCTTCATATTAATTTATAGTTGTTTGTGTGTATGTTGTAACTTTGTGTGTTGTACTTTCTACGTTGAACTTTCTACTGCCTCTTGGCCAGGACTCCCTTGTATTAGTGTTTTTTTCTTTATCTCAATGGGATTCCCAGGTCAAATAAAAAAAAAAAAAAAGGTTTGGTTCACTCTGGACAAGGACCAGTGTCAAAAAGCCATTAACAAACAGATGGCCATTCACTTTAACTCAGGAATATTTGGTTTTGCCAGTGCCCCAGCTGCATTTCTTTGGACAATAGAAGGCATTCAGAAACTCTCATGAGAGTCAAATGCTAACATGCAAGGGTAAGAGAGATAGTGAGTGGACCAGTCAAATAATAAAATTCCTCTAAATTTGTAGTGTCTATGACAGTTTTAAATACTAATTTTACTAGAGTTAGCACAGTCATTACATTTAAAGGTGTAAATTTATGTAACTTTTCATTTGTGGGTCTGTCACCTTTTTGTTTATATGGATATGTCATTGCTCTGCTTCAAATGTTCCACAATATGACATTAAACATCTCTCACTTACAATTCAGTTCAATTTCAATTCAATTACACATGGTTTTAATGCTTAAAAATATCTAGAAAAACAGGCATTCTTTACAGATCTAACATATAACCTGGCCTGGTTTGGTCTACTTGGAGATAGAACGGTTTAATGCCATACTGTGAAACATTCCAGACAAAGCAATAACATCTCCATGGAAAAAAGCAGGTGAGATTAAGATTTTAAGGAAAAAAAATGTCCAGTTTGGCAATTTAGGCTTAAAATTTTACTTCCTGGTTGGAAATCTCCTCTAATGCACACAATGCATAAATTAGCAAACACTGTCAAAAACATCATCTAAAAACTCAAGAAAAAACACAAAACGGACACTTTTCAGGAGCCTGTCTTCAATACAAGCATTCGTGGGCCTGTTTAGGTGTTTTATTTTCAAAAATGAGACTGAAAAGCTGTTGGCTAAATGCTTTATGGTCAAATTGAGTTAAACTAAAAGACAGATTAAAGTCTAATAAAGCCTCAGACAGAGCAGAGCCTACAGTTAGCGTCACACCCCAGGGAATGTTAATGGCCTCAGCTGCAAAGTATCAATGCACACACATCACATTAATCACTGTTGTGGTCCTGTACCTCCATCCCCACAGCCAACAGCAGCACATTTGTACAGCTCAGTTCACCCTGAAGGCACTCGGCTTGAATCTGCGGCGACAGCATCAGGAGCCAGCAATTGGAGACCACTGAGACAAAACTCAGCACCTCGAACGCAATCTGCAAACACACAAAAATGAGTCTGTTTACGACTAAATGGTAAGAGTGCAGCTGTAGTTTTCCATTGTACTTAAAGAGACCATGACAGATTGGACAACATATTTCACTAAAACACAGTTAAGATCATTATGTTTAAGATTTTTAAGATTTTACTTTTCTTTTTCCCAATTCAGGCATTTTCTGAGTTTTAAAATTTTACTTCCTGGTTGGAAATTACGGCATCAGTTATACCAAACAGATGGCCATTCACGTTAACTCTGGATACTGAATACTCTATTCTGTAGTGTTTTTAGTTTATTTATCTATGGTTACTATAGTGGTTAGAACTGATGTTATTTGTTGTGTCTGTGCACATGGGCTAGAGAGCAACGTAATTTTGATTCCTTTGTATGTCTAGTACATGTGAAAAAATTGACAATAAAGCTAACTTTGAATTTTGAACTTTGAATTTCATAACCTTCCATTACCTGGTACCCATACTGTATACTGGGCCAAAACTCCTCTAATGTACACAGAGATGATTATTTGACAAAAATATATAAGAAAACACCTTTATCTTGTTGAAATGAAGTTTAAAAAAAATAGTTTTGTAAGTATAAATTATGCAGAACCTTTGGACAGAAACCTCCATAGAGTGATGCCATTAATATGGGCTCTCTACTTATGTTATTTTCAACATATTTTCCACTTTTCTTTGCAAATTGCTTGGTGTAAAACTACAATTCACATTTGCAACAAGTATTATTCTACAAAATTAAGTTAAAATTTGAGAATAATCCGAACTTGTCATATTGACTTTAACACAGTTTGACTGACCTGCCACACGCCCATGTTGGCCACAGGAGCAGTGAAAGGTTTGCGGAAGAGTTTGCAAACTTTATAAGCATCCGATCGTATCTCTGTCAGGTTATTGATGAGTAACAGTACAGCCGTCAATGGGAACACGCAGGAAAAAAGACTCAAATACCCAAACTGCACCAGGAGCTCAATGTACTCTGCAAACAGACCCTGCAACATCCAGAACAATAGTTAAATAATAGTCTGATATTACATAAAATTGACTCTTGTCACCTTCAAGCCATGTTAGAAAAAAAACATACCTGGAGCTGTGCTTTGTTTCATTCATACATGTTTGAGTGACCTTTGTTTATTAGTAACAGCATTATAACCTGGATTGAAGCTCACAAGAGTCTTTTTATGTAATGTACTTTTAAGTTATGTAACAGTTACTAAACCTCATTCTATTAACAAACTTCAGATTTATTGAGGTTGTAAATAGTGTAGCTGTAAGCGAGTGTTTAAGGAGGATAAACATCTGTAATAGAATATCAGTTCAAAATGCAGAATGTTGAAATCTCGGATCAGATCATTTACTGTGGTGACTCATAGGCTCACTATGTACTATGAAACATGGTATGAAAACAACAAAGGGATTTCTGATATTGATACTTTGCAGCTGATCTCATCAACATTCTCTGGGGTGTGATGCTAAATGTAGACACTGCTCTGTCTGACGGTTTAGTAGACTTTAATCTGATCTTTAGTTTAACACAGTCAGACTGAAAGAGCTGATTTAGTTGGAACAGGTGAGATGCTCTAAATTTGTGTTAAACAAGTCCCTCTCAAATAACATTACAGTCACAAGATAGCTTTTTTGTTGAAAATCCTAAGGTTCTAAACAGGACCTTGAATGTTCATATTGATCACAGACTCCTAAAAATGTTTTGTTTAAATCCATTTAGTATTTCTTCTTGATCTAAAAACCTTTCAGCCTCTGTTTGCTAACGTGGTAACTAATGATTTCACTACAAAGTATCAATTCTGATATTGTGTGTCAACAAAGACTATTTCCGGTTTGCACAAACTAACCGGAAATACAGGTAGACTTCCTTGGTTCCTGAATTTATCTTCTTGAGGATCATCTTCAGTCTCGGCTCTGTTCGGGGCACTGATAAACCTGTCCACCAGGTACGGGATCACCACCTCCGTCACCTGGTTTATCAACTGCGTCACAATCAACAGCGAGGCTAGACGCTGCAATAAACACAAAACATTATTCTTATAGTAAGGGTCGCCACCTGCTTGTCTCCATGGAGATATCACTGTTTTGCCTTGAGTATGGAAATAAACTTGGTAATCATAAAGGAGACTGAGACTAAGAATTAATGTTTTTCTAAGGTATTTTTGAGCTATAAAATACCTGTAATTGAACAAATGCAAAGAGATATGTTCAATGCCCTACTCCTGTCTCCATGGAGACAAGGAGGTAGCGGAAGTTACACAGTGCACCTTTAATCAGATCTACAATCATGGTTTAAATTATTACTCTATTCAATTACAAATAAGTTGTGACTCATCAAAAATACTATTAAAAAAAACCTGAAGCAAAGCCACTTCTCTCAACTACACACACATTTAAAATTAAAGTGTAACGTATCATTACTAATAAAATATATTAGAACTTTTATAATAGGTTTCCACTTCCGTTTATATGCAGCATTTTGAAAACTTGAAGTCAAAATAAATAGCTTGTTCAAAATTGTTAATCTCTATGGCAACAGTCCTAATGATTTTTTTAAATTCTGAATCAAATGGATACTTTCTACTCTACAGGTTAATTATGAATGTATAGAAGAATCAATTGAAATAGAGCCAAGTAATCATGATTATGCTTTTTGCCAATATCTTGTAGTTTTTTTTTAATTGTTATTAAGAATGTATTTGAGGGTAATAAAGTAGTTGAAACACAGTGTTACCTTTCGTAGCAAAGGCACATCTTGTTTGAAAAAGGCGATATGGAAGAGCACTGCAAAGTAGTTGAAGAAGGTGAACTGGAGAGAGAGTTATAACAAAAGAATTACTAAAATTGTACAAACAAATGAGGGCTCAAAGAAACCAACCAAACTTACCACTAAGACTTTTCCGGTGAGGTGATTGTCAAAGGCTGACTCCTCCCTGTGGTTCTCTAAAGAAATAAAGATTAAGTTAAATTGAATGAGGGGATTGAGTGGTTTGCACATGGACTGTACAAAGAAGCCAAATAAGGGAGTGTGACGTCACCAACAGCGTGAAATAAAGTTCACGATGCTGACGCTTAGAGGGCGAATTTGGTGTCGAGTTTCATATTAGGAATAGGAATTTATTTGTGGACAAAATAACAAAATCAAAACACCCCGTGTTCACTTCCGACTTGGAAGGTGGAGGCTAGAGGGTTAACTTTGTCCATTTATATACAGCCGACGTGATTGCAGTGTTGATTTCACTCACCATATTCAGTTAAAGCCTCCGCCACAGTCTTATACACAGTGGCCAGTACGTTGGTGTATACGATGTGAAGGACAGAGGGCAGGTAAAGGAAAGTCTGAGACAACAGAGAGTCATAGTCTGCATGGATCCTCTTCACCTGAGCCTCGCCCCAATAAAACATCATCATGCCCAGCACCACCAGCCCTGCACAGACAGAAATGCACTCACTGTGGACCAAAGGACAAGTAGGGATGGGACCACAAGATCTTACAAAACAAAACTGTGTTTACATTCAGATTGGATTGAAAATGGATTAAGTGAAATGACTAGTTACATTTCTCAAGAAGTCGTAATTCCAAAAGGCAGTACTACAATCATGGCAAAAAAAAATATTAAATAAAGTCAGAAATTTGAGCTAAACTACTCCATATATTTATTAGAAATTATTTAAAAACTCATCTTGTCTCATTCTTATGGACTATATATCATGTCCTGTTTTGTCTTATTGCCTTTTCCCACCCCTAATGAAAAGTGCTTTAAAAAGTCTGATTGATTGACTGGAGTATGATTATGAAAATATGAAATATGTTGTTATAGGTACTAGAATTAGATGATGCTATGATTTCAGATAAGAGACTGTGGCCTGTGTTGCCATGGTGTTTATTTTCTTTGAATTATTTTACTGTTCTTGACCTGATTTTATTTTGTATTTCTCTAGCCGTGTCTGTGTTTTTGAGTTTTACTTCCTGTTGTATTGATCGTTTGCCCCACCCTACTGTGTTTCACCTGCGTCTCATTCATTTGTGTGCATTTATACCCTGTGTTCTCCTTTGCCCTTTGTTGGTGCATTTATCGTTATCAGTTTCACGTCTGTTCGAATTTGGACATTCTTTATTTTATCAAGCAACTTCGGGTCCTACTTCTGCTCTAAACGTGAAATGTGTAGGTCTATTTACTGTTTTTGAGTAAATATCAGAATGTATGATTCACAAAAAGTTGAACCCTATTATTATTTATTTTTTATGGATTGGTTCCATAAATATCCCATATTAATTTGATGTTGATTGTGATTGTTAAAAGTTGTTAAAAGTTGTTATCCTTTAAACAACTTTTAATAATCATGTTTATGGTGTGAATAATTGCTCTTTCAGATAGTTATTTATTATTTTTTATTGTTATTTCAATAATTCAATATTTGAATTTTGCCTATCTATGCTGACAGGGGTACCAATGTATGTTTCATGTGCATAGGCCGAGTATTAACCATAAAAAAGGTCAGCAAATCTGCAATATGTCAAACAGCAAATTCTGCTATGGAGTTCTGACCTGGTCTCCCAATCAATTAAACAAATCTAAAATATTATGATCTCCCATGAACGAAACCAAATATTAAACTTTGGCTAAAACAGAAATCAAATCAGTAGTACCTAGAAACAGTCCGACCACCGGCACTGACACCAGAGCCATGCGGAGGTCCCTCTGCCATTCAGGAAACAGGGGCTCCTTTCGGCCAGTGACAGGGTTGACCCCCAGGTTGCCATGGAAACCTGGTCGGGGTTCGGCGAAGCGTTCGGCGAGGCTGAGCGTTCCCCAGCGGTATGACAGGGAGGCACTGCGCCGTTTCCACAGCTCCATCACCACAGTGGACCAGAGCATGCTGAAGACCGCTTGGATCATGTGACCACTGATGCCGGGGCTCTCGTGATCGTCAGCAATGATCTGTGACCCCGACACTGACTCCACCATCTCCTTCTGCACCTCACCTGGGAGAAAATACTGAGATTATTAAAAATATACATGCATACACAGCAGATAAAACAAAACCTGGCCCAAAGATTAAGGGGCCAATATATTACACTTATTTTTGATCTGTTATATTGTTATTTCCTCATCAAAAACATACCTGGAGTTCTGTTTTGTTTCATTCACATATTTAATACACAAATCCTGCATATTTAGACTGCTTAGGAGTGCTCCACTGTGTTTTTAAACTCTATACACCTTCACCAATCAGAATCATTTTGATCATTTCAGACCTAAACTTGCCAATCTCTACTAAAATAAAAAAGTAAAAGGTAGCTGCTAACTTGAAATCTGCTACTACATGCCATGGTGGAATAGTGTATTTTGAGCTTTGGAGATGTTGATAGACTAATAATAAAGTGTTGCTCAAACATGTGTGAATGAAACAAAACACAATTCCAGGTATGGTTTTGATGAGGCAACAGCATGTTAACTTGGCTTAAAACTGAAAAGAGTCAGTTCTGTGTAATACAGGACCTTCAGACTATTCCAATATGAAGTTGGTGGATATTGTTGCTTGGCCCTTTTATGGCACCGTGTAATTCAATGTAGTTTGTGTAGATTTGCAAACAAAATAGCAGTTGATAAGAATATAACCTAAACAATGCATTAACTTATAGTATTGTCATGATAATTACTATATTAACTTATCGTTCAATATATGACAGATGGAACAAAAATTTTTTTTATTGCAAATAATGTATATGACGATTATAGATGCAGACTAAGTGCTTCAGTGTTTCATTAATTTCATCTTATTTCTACATATTTAGAATAGTGTTTTTTCAGCCAGTTGCGTAAATTAGTTTCAATATTATCATTCATCTTCTATATACTTCAGCAATATATCATACTTCAAAATGTGTTATCGTGACAGGCCTATTAACTTTCAATTCAAATGTTTTCCAAATGTAAAGATATACTGACAAACCTGAGAAGTATGCAATGGACAGGCCTAGGACAGCGGGGGGCAGCAGAGACCACGTGTAGAAATCAAGGAAGCTGAAGTAAAATGCCAAAGAAGTCCCAAAATAGGAATTGACTGAATCTGTGAATGAGGCAAGGGGATTATAATAAGAGGTCTGTGGGTTAGCTCTGACTCATCCTCTCCTATGAAATAACTATGTCTCACCGAGAGGCTGGGCCAGTTGGTTTCCTACATACCAGGCCTGGCTCAGGGCCCTCAGCTGCGCCTGGTCGTGAAGGGCAACCGTGTCCACAACAACGCCAGCCGAAGTCAGCTTCCGCCCTGAAACAAACCAACATGACAACGCTGTAGACAGAGACAGGATCATAAAGCAGTTATAACTGCACTGAGCCAGTCTCCAATTACACACATGAGAGCACACACAACGCAGAGGAGAGCCATTTTAGCATCAAAAGGACAACCAACAAGGACAACAGGAAAGCAGTTCAGTTTCTAATAAAATTAAATGTTACACAAAATGATGTAGTTGAAAGTTGAAAATGTTTTTGAAATTCTTGCTTTGAAGTTATGGCATTAGGCCTGTTTTAGCACATTTCTTTTGGATTGCACAAATATTATACTTTTATTTTCGAGAGAATGAAAAAAATGAGCTGAATATCAGGTATATTGTTTGTGTTTTGCCTTACAGATGTTGTCTCTTGGTTGTAGAGCGTATCTGTCGTCCAGACCTGGGATTTTTATTTCCCTCTGAGCCCGAGTTCCATCCAGCTCATACTTCACTATGTACTGCCGCTCCGCCAGGGTCAGGAACACCTCCATCTTGTCTAAATATAACAGAACATTGACTATATTTATTGATTATACAAAATATGTTTTCGTATTTAAATTATGTTTTAATAATTTTGTGTGATTATGTATTTTATCAGGGTGTTTGCTCGATAACAGCGTATGGCCATGTTAATAGTTTTTGCATAGAAGAATATGCAAATATGCAAAGTGAACGTTTACTGTACATTCAAAGCAGCTGTGATGCACCTGAGTCTTTAAAGTTGTCTCTGTCCTCATATGAAAACGCCTCCATTTCTTCGTTTTTGTACTTTTTACACAGTCCCAGCTCCTCTGTGGCCTGGAGCAGGGTGCAGCGAGGGGCAGAGAGCACCATAATGTCCCCACTGGCATCCTCACCAGGGTGGGCCAATAAGCCTGCACCTAAGATACAGTGTTAAGAATTGAACCCAATATTATGAAACAAATATAACAGAAAAAAAGAAATAAAAATAAAGTTAAAAAAAGAAAAGAAAGAATCACAAGCTAAGCCTGTGATCTAATTTGGATGAAGCTGCTTCTTCATGATTCGTTACTGTAAAGGTCAGAAAATCAGATGAAAATGAAAGAACTAAGCTCAAGTATAAACAAATTTTTAAAAAAGGTTTCAGCCTTTGTCGTTTTGTAGAAAAGCCATGTCTGCTCTTATCCAGTGCTTACCACAATTACAGGATTTTGATCTCTAGAGTACACTTTTGTAAAATGAGATATGGGGGAGAGGTGTGTTTAATTTTAATAATACAGTTATAATACAAATAGAGTTACTGTAAACATACAAAATATCCTCGTCAAACATTTTTCTATGATAAATATTTCTAAAGCTGTTGCTTCAGTGCCCCCCCTCAGATGCCCTGACTCACCTGGGCCTGAGTGTGATATACAGTATAGCTGAATATAATATAGACGATAATACTGAAACTAATATATGACACTGACACAATAAACCAAGAGCAGATTTAAAGCACAAAAACTATTCTAAATGTACTATATTGTTAAAAAAAATCATGAGTTAGAATAAATAAACAGCAAAATGAAACGCTTTAGTACTTAGTTTGCCTCTGAGTCAAGCTATTAATTCAACCTTTTATGGCTTAACGGTGCACTGTTTAACTTTATGGTTGGGGGTTTGTCTCTATGGAAATATCATTGCCCTGCTTAGAATGTTCCACGGTATGACATTAAACAGCTCTGCCTTACATTTCTTCAACTGCAGGTGGTTTTATAGCTCAGAAATACCTACAAAAACTGTGAGGTTGCCTTTCCACAAATCTGACCTCTAACTTTGTCTGGTTTGGGCTCCATGAAGATAGAAAGGTTTAATGCCATACTGTGAAACATGCCAGGCATAGGAATAACATCACAGACTAAGCATTTGACGGACCCTCAACCAGAAAAGTTACACGTTGCACCTTTAAATCGTATCATATAGTTAAAAAATACCCCAAAATTTCCCAATAGAGCAAAGAAAATGTACACATGACAAATACTGACCCCAAAAAATATTGTTCCATCTTTCATATACTGAACGACAAATCAATAGAGTATCATGACATGCCCACACTCACCTCCATCTTTCTGTGGTGTTCCTAAAAGTTTGAGCAGCCACCTCTTGGTCTCAGGTCTGACCTTTTGACCCAGTTTGACCAGCACCAGCGGATCGACCCGGTCCGACATACAGCAGGGACACGAGACTCTGGTCCATCCGGGTCCTGAGGCTGACGAGGCTGTGAGCAGTTTAGCAGAGCCCGTAGACGAGGGAGGGTCTCTGCTGCTGCCCGCATCTTCAACCACTCCTGCTGCACTCATGGCTGTGAAGATAATGGACTATGTAACTACAGGTTTGCTAAAGGTGCACTAGGTAACTTCTAAACTGGATAGTCATCTATTTGCTTGTCTCCATGGAGATGTTATTTCTTTACCTTGAATGTTGCACAGTAAGGCATTTAATGTATTTCCCTTGCATTTGTTCAATTGCAGGTGTTTTACAGCTCAAAATAACTTAAAATACCTTAAAAAACATGAATTCTTTGCATGTGCAGGCTTGCTTCTCCGTAGATCAGACCATTGTGTTTACCAATTTCATGTCCATACTGCGGAATAATCATGAAGAACCTGTAATATCTCCATGTAGACAAGCAGGTGGTGGATTCTACACCAGAAAAGTTACACACCTTTAAAAAGCAATTAAGGAAAATTGTACTAAAAACAATTACAAAAAGGCTCAGTTTGTTGTATTGTGAATGAATTAGAGTACTGTTTCGGAGCTTGGCAATAAGAAAACCACCTATGCTTTAGCCTTATACCTGAGTTATATACATATATGGACTGCTTTATATGGTTACTTGATTTGCATGATACAGCTGACTGACATAACTTTTTGAATATAGCTCACAATGCACTTTTGATGTCAGATATGTGGTAGAGTTGTTAAGGAAACACTTGTTAAAGAGATAGCAGCTCATAACTTCCTGCGTTATATTTTCACTTTGCAACTCTATACCACGCCATCAGTTAACCTTAACGCACACTTGAGTCTGAACCATCACAGTGCATGTTTCTTCTTGTTGGTTGTAATCGAGACACAGAAATTCAACGAAAGAGTAGAAGGTTTAGAACAGCACCTGGCACAGAGTTGATGATGGGATCCTGGTCTCTGTTCTGCTGCAGGCCCACAGCCCCTCCAAAGTCCTGGTACAGAGCCCCCAACGCCTGCTCACTTCTGCCATAAAGAACTCAAGAGAATAGCCTCCCCCCTCTGTCACTCTATGTTTTTGGTTAGTGCTGAGCGGTTGAACTCTGTGTGTAGCTGTGTGTAGAAGGAATGCGGAGGAACTTCCCCAGACTGCAGGGCGTGGAGGCTTGTTTGGTTTACTTCAGTGCTCCTCCCTCCGTCCTGCTCAGCCCATCTCTTGCTCCTCAGAGACTGACTGCAGCTCTGGGTCCTACTGCTCCACCCGTCTCTGCTGTCCCGGCTTTACAGTAACCAAGCGCACACTGAATCTGCAGGACAGCAAAACCAGCATTGATTTACAGAAAAGCCTATAAGCCAAGTCATGGTAATAGGTACAGCCATTACACTGTATTATAGTATAAGTATTAAGTATTTTACACTTTTTACATTGTTTGACACCTTGGTATGCTGGTATTTCTCTTTGTATAAGATCAAACCAATGTATGAATGAGGCAAAATATATACATAAATGCATACATAATAAAACACAAATAAATACATAAACAAATTTTAAAAAATCTGCATTACACATTGGTCAATGACAGCTATTGGGACACCTTTATCAAAAATAGTGTGGCAAAGGTGTAGGGAATTTAAAAACACAGAGAAGCAATGGATTACAGCGTGCAGAGGGGTCAAGCATTGAAGTCTCAAGACACAGCCTCAATATGGCGGATTAATTTAAAGTAATAAATCTAATGTAGGTCTAATGGTTCTTCTAATTGTTTCTGAGAGATGTAGCTTTAATTTAGTCGTTAAACTATGTCAGTTAAAACTTAACATGTACAAAACCAAGACAAAAACATATAAATAAGGACTCCTACAGAACATCACAGCTATAATTGGCCCTACTGCAAATGGAGACCTTTAGTGCAATATTTAGCCTGGTTTATTGCTATGATATGGATTGTGGGATAGTTCTGCATCAGCTTTAATTAGAAACTCAAAAATGACTCTGCGTCTAATTAACAACAGTTATCGAGTTAGTTATTAGACTATGTCAGTGATTTATGCTAATTTATAGAGGAACAAGTGCACGAGTAAAAACAAACAAACACTGAGAACATAAAGCCTACACTATTGTTAGGTACAACCTACTTATCTTCATCCAGATTCTCCTGATCACGCCTCTAATCCGAAGAGATGAAGGGGGAAAACTCTTCTTTGCACTAACAAAGTGCAAAGTAAGAGTACGAAGCCAGAATGCGCCTTTTCCGAGGAGCGTTTTATTTACGTGACACGGCCACTAGGTGTCACCAGAGTGACACTTTAATGTTACAGATCCACGGCCTGAAGGCACGAGCCTGAAAGTCTGTGGTTCAATCTTTGCTCGGACCAACTGTCAATTTTGTATTTATTTTGGTCTTATTTACCAAGAAAAACATTAACAACTAATTATTACTTACTTTATTTACATATACACTACATTAACTTCTTAGGTTCTTTTTAAAGACAATGCAGTAAAGTGTATTTACCTTGTTGACATGTTTCGGCTGCTAGCTGCAAGCCATCTTCAGAACTGTCCTGAAGATGGCTTGCAGCTAGCAGCCGAAACATGTCAACAACGTAAATACACTTTACTGCATTGTCTTTAAAAAGAACCTAAGAAGTTAAAGTATATAAGAAGACATAATGAACATCATTGGCTTCATATACACTACAGTTTTCCCTTGGGCAATACACTTCACCCACCTGGCCTCTTATGTGGATTTGTCTAAATGTGTACCAATGTTAATATTATAATTGTGATTTTTCTTTTTTTTGTCTAATAATGTTCATGAAAACCAAATGGCAAAGATATGTCAAACTAATAATGCGATTATTTGTCTCCAAAATTGAAGTTTACTGCAGCTATGAAATATAGACGACGACCCAAGAAATATACACAGACATTTATTTACAAATACATTAGCATTTGCATAGAAATGTAAAATTCAAAAATAAAAGTCATAGATATTATTATAGTAAACAGATTTAGACAATATTATTATTGCATTATCATTTTGCAAAGAGAAAGGTCAGAATACAGGTTCATTTTGAAGTCATATAAATAACAATATTACTTTGTATAAAATAGTTTGTATTTTAATCCATCATCTGGAATCCTTTAACTTTTCTATGCAGTTATTTGCATGAATATGTGCATTATAACTATAAATCTATATTTGGTTCTTCGTGACAGTGCTTTTTTGGTGTGTAAAGCTGCTTCTTCGTGTCTATTACATTAATTTGACACTTGTTATTACTGATATGTTTCCATAAACAGAGTATGACACGATTTGTGGCTACAGTTGTAAAAGGCCTGAAGAAGTTTTGTTACAGTGTTTTGCCACAGCTACGCAGATATTGTTATTGCCCCAGCGAGAAAGAGCAGAAAAGCATAATGATGTGAATTATAATTTTTTTGACATCGTATATTATGTACACTTTATTTGTTATTGTTAGAAAAAATATAATTTGTAAAGGTTTTCCTATTTTTCTAGTTGTGCTATCTATGTATGTATAAAGCTTTGTTCTGCTTTAGTTATCAGGGTTTTTGAGGATCAGCCAGTTGCATTCAAAGACTCCTGTTTTTCAGTCAGAAGGTTCAACAATCGTCATACTGCTAGCATCTCTAAGGACCTGCACTTTACATATTTATCAAAAATCTCACAGTATACAGTTTCACTTCGGTTTCTTTTTTCATGTGGAATGAATAAAGTATCTCTCTCTCTTTTGTAAAATGTTGGTCACTTGGCTGTAGTTTTGGCCTTGAGATACCCACAACAGGAGCTCTGATACAGTGGCTTCATACCTCATCTTTAGTCGCTTCAACCGAGACAATACACCAGAAGATGTATTGGAGTTTCCACTCCACCATTCATAAAACACTGACCCTTGTGACAACATAAAGCAAATCCCAAAGACGGTCTCTCCTGTACAGCACGATACAAACATTTTTACATCTTTGTTACTATAGAAGTGTTACAACAGATTTTCAAAAATGAATCACAACAGTGGTTTAAGGTCTATTATACACAAAATGACATCTTATCAGCACGCTAACAGAATAATCTTGTTTGCTTTTAATTAATAAATTAAATCTCTTTTCTCAGCATTTCAAATATTAAAGCTGCATGTTTCCTGTTCACAATTGAGTAGCAGCAGAGTAGAAAGCTTAATCACAGGATATAGCTATGGGACAGGGGACTAGTTGTGCACAGTTGTATTTCCTGAGTTGGTTCACATGATCAGGTGACACAGTTTTGGTCTCATTTGTTATTCTCGATGCTGAACTCTTTCTCTCTCCTCTTGTCCTTTATCCCTCTCACACATCCACCCACCACCATCACTTACTTTTCTTTGTCTAAAATCAGAGCAGGGTTTTGAGGGAGGTGTGTGTACATTCAAAGTTTTGTGTTACTATTATTATTATTTTTTTTCTTTCTCAGCTGACACCTTCCCAATTATAAAGCTCTAGTTGGCTGCAGGAAGTTGCTTGATTAGTTGACACAGTACATGACATCAGAACGTGTTGGCTGGATTGAAGGCATTATGTAGAAATTACGTAGAGATGAGCTGCTGCAGAGGCCTAGGGTTTCCCTGTGTGAGGCTCAGGACAGTGCAGTGTGTGGCTGTTTCTAAAGGGAGGTCTGATAAGTCCGAAGGCCCTGGAGCCTTCTGTGGGTTAGAACTTCTCATCAGGGATGAGTGTATTAAAGGGGTGGTCCCAAAATGTGGTGGTGATTCCAAAACCTAAAAGAAAGTAAAGAAAATGGTAAATATAAGGAACAGTGTTGTTGTATTATTTCATATGCACATAATATGTATAATAATTTGTATAATCAATCTTATAATAATGCCACTTTTAACAGACACAACAAGAAAGACACCATGAGTCATGAGCTTACCTGATCGTTGGTGCTCAAAATGGTGTTTGACGTGATATGCCTTAAGGCTGTACAGGTATGAGCCTTTCTTTGGGGAGCCATAGTGGAGATAGTAGTGGATCATGTCATATACAACATAGCCACAAAGCCCTCCTACGAACACAGACATCGCTATGATGTCTGGAAGCACACTCATCAGAAAAACGTAAAACAGTCCCACCACAAACGAGGCCAGTCCTGGGGGAAAGACCAGCCTGGAGCCATCGAAGGGAGACTGCACGAAAAATAAAACCTGTTTTAGAACAAATCATATATACATATGTTAAATATGCAACAGAGCGTACCTTATGGTGCTGGCCGTGCAGGAGGAAATGTATGGTGATGAGGTAGTAGTTATGGGCGGGGGGTTTCATGTGAAAGACAAAGCGGTGGATGCAGTACTCGATGAAGGACCAGAGGAACCAGCCCAACAAGAAGAGCACAGGGAAGATGGATTTATGGACTGGGATGGACAAGTCTGAGGAGAGGTGGACAGGAGAGTTACACAGTGTTTTCATATTATAATTTTACTAGACAATTTGGTGACACTTTTTAACCACACAATGATTTAATAAAGCATGAACAAAGACTTAATTCATAATGAACAAATATTTAGATTTTGTTATGTCTGTTAAACAGAAACTGGGAAACTGTCTGTTGTCACTGTAACTGTGTAGTGTTTTCTTAATGTAAATGTAAAACAAGAAATTGACAACATAATTTATCACAAGCACATATACCACAGGAAGCCTGTGTGCATGAACTGAATGGAAACAGGTGTTTTGTGTTACACAGGGCCACATTGAACATAGGCAAATGAGGCCAAAGAGAGAGGAGCAGAAAAGTGGGAGTTTGAGTATCTCACCTGAAGTCACTTCTATCCTGCTCACGCCTTTCGCTAACGTTGCATAGCAATACCAACTTAGATAAATTACAAGAGGCATCCACACAATGGGGACCCAGTACCTGCACAGAACACATATTTACATGTAGCTTACAGAAGCATCTTCACTTTCACCTAAAATATGTCATTGCACCTAGATTAAATACTGCTCACTGCATGTGACTGTGAGTTATATCCGACCTCTTCACTCAGGTCTGAACTTTGCCCTGTCATCAACCATCACATAAAGATCCATATCGCTATTCTCAGTTAATATGAGGCCATTCTCTCACCAGGAGGTTTTGGTGCCGGCTTCCAGAAAAGAATTTCCGAACAGTCTGATTGGTCGATCGACGGGCTGATGGACCCAGGCATCATACTTCTCTCTCAGATGTCCCACCTGCCACGCCAAAGGCTTCCTCCAGTCCACCAGATCCTAAACAAAACAAACAAGAGCCACAGAGAGTGAAATACTGTGAGGTACTGAGGTGGTCCATATAACAGAGCAGGATGTCCAGCAGGTGGCAGCAATGTTACAACGGCACGTACATTGAGGAGCCAGTTACACCTGTTAACTTAAACTTCACGGGTGCTACATCTCGTGTTTATTTATTGTCTGTTCATGTTTACATTTCAGCTGTTTAACTAACACACCAGCATATACCTAAATACTGTATTAGGAAAATGTATGATGGCTCTTTATTTGTTTATTATCTCACTTCATTTCCATGTACACCACAAGTATTCATAAAATGTAAAAGTTCCAGGCCACATTCAACATGAAGACAACATATTCAAACTCTTTGGGTTAACTTTGGGCTACGCTGACATTAAGTTAACTATCATAAAAACTAAATTGCATGACACTGACAGCCCTGGGTTTACAAGCCAATGACCCTGAAAGTAAAGCATGAGCAGACTTTCACCTATCATTTATTATACAAATGGCAATAATACATTTTGTTTTTAGAGTTATAACTACTGCATATCATAGCGAGCAAGGAAATCTCACACATAGATCACACAAACAATTTTTTTATCTATGTTATAACATTGTTTCCCCATCAAAAACATACCTGGAGTTGTGGTTTTGTTTCATTCCCACACAAATCCTGCATATTAAGGCTGTATGCTTCTTTCAAACTGAAAACACTCTGTTCCACCTTATGATGTCATGTGGTAATACAAAGAGTGCTCAATTGTGTTTTTAATTACCAATCTCTACTGAACTGAAAGTAAAAGGAGCCGTTACCTTGAAAACTACTTCTACATGAAGTGGACAGTGGAAGAGAGCATTTGAGCTCTGGAGATGTAGACAGACTAATACATTTTTTAGCAGTTTTTTGTGGCACTGGTGATCTGGATTTCTCATTAATGATCTGGAACATTTCTCATCAGTTCACACAGTTCACAAGTTTTCTCAGAACACTTGGCACAGCTCTCATTCACAAACACATGATCAATAATAATAAATTACCTCGTTTTTTTCAGTGCTGTGTCACTTTCTATATTGAAACTCAAAGCAAATATTTGTGAGCACCTTTCAATAAAGGATTTCACACCTGAGTACATCCTACAACTTAAACTTAAACATTACTGATGTTTAAGTTTAAGTCTAAGTCTGAGAGTAAACACAGTAGGTCACATGTCACATTATAATAACAAAAGGAAATTCTAAATAAGAAGCAAATAAGGCATAATTATATAAATATAAATGTATAAATTAAAGCTAAATAAAACAGAAATAAGTAATAGAAATATCTCTGCTATATACAAGAGGTCATAAGGAAAACAAAGCAAAAATTATATGATGATTTACATGACATAGGGTTATCTGTAACATAAGGGTTAATTTAGGATGTTATAGCCACTCTGCTGACTTTACACAAGCAATAATTACAGGAGTTGTTGTACAGTTGTAGGGAGTATTACAGTTATGTAGTCCTGTATCTCTCTGTGTTTGAGTGGAGCTGTAGGAGCCTTTTGGAGAATGAGTTCCTCTGACCCTCTATAGAAGAAAAAAACAACATGGATAACCATCTTTTTTCTGCACGTTCTGGTGATTTATGGCAATTATCCTTGTTGGCGATTATCACAATTATAAAATGTCCCACAAATGATTACTGTCTACCTTTTATATCATGATAAATTATATTATTTTTTATCATCTTATCCCTAGTCTGTAGAGGATGTGATGCCCTGGAGTGAATGAATGAATGATGACTTTAGTAATGGAAGATGACTTTAAGGTGCTGAGAGAACTGAGTGTGAATAGAAGAAGAAGACTTTTTAGACTTAGACTTAGACTTAGACTTAGAGAAACTTTATTGATCCACAAGCAAAATTATTTGGACACAGTAGCTCACAGCATATTATAATAACAAAAATAAATGTTATAATAAATTATAAACAAGTAGCAGAAATAGCAAGAAATGTCAAATAAGGTGTAATTATATAAGATAAAGAAATAGAGTCAAGTATTATAAGTGAAGAAGTGTAAAGTAGTATTATTATATATTATAGTATTTTATGATGGTCCAGTCATTGTAAAGACATTTTCTTTGTATGTTTGATTTTATGAACTGAAACATCATCTTGCCCAGTGACCACAGGTGGAAATAAGCACTGTCCCTGTCATATTGAATAAATAAATAAATAAATAAATAAATAAACTAAACTAAACTAAACTAAACTAAACTAAAAAGTGCTCTGTGAAATGAATGAAAGAGCCTGAGAGTTTTTATGGTAAAATCAGCTTTTGGTGGGATGATTTAGTTTTAGTTTTGAATGTAAAACTATATTTTGTTGAGATTAAATTTTGTTTCACCCTGTTTGGAATTCTATGATAGCAGTTTTGCAAATGCCAAGTGTGTTAAAAAAAAATGTAATAAAGGGTTACTCAAACATGTGTGAATGAAACAAAACACAACTCCAGGCATGTTTTGATGAGGTGACAGCAGTTTGAGCGAGATGGAAAGCTCACAAAGGTCCCATAGTGTACAAAATTAACTCATAACATTCTAACTTGTGGAGAATTGTATTATGAAGCGTGCATTGTGAACATCACCAGTGTCTGAATGTCAAAACCAGACAATGGCTGACCAAATAATCACATCACTGACTTATACAAGAGTTTCGATGAGGGCGCAGATTGAGTGGACACAATAACACGGCTGTATGAGGCCTGTATTAATAATCAGGAGGAGGTCCAGACTAAATGAACTGAGCTTCATTGTTGAGCGGGACCATGCCTCACATTCCTGAGAGAGAGGCGGACTACACGCACATGTTGGGTTTCTATGCATCTTGGGGACAGAGCATTGATTTTCATGAATTTCCTGGAGATTGATCCTAAACTTAACCCAAGTCACTCCTTGCCTACAGCTCTATTTAACCCATACCTTAAAGCAGGAGCATATGGTGACTTTTACTGGGAGGCAAGCGGACTTGGGATAGACATAAATTTTTAGTCGATAACAATTCAATAACTCCGCTTTTTATAGAAACATACACTACCAGTCAAAAGTTTTAGAACACCACCCTTTTTCCAGTTTTTTACTGTTGACCAAAACATATTCTAAACTTTTGATTCATGAAAGTGTCCACCTTTGGCAGATATAACAGCTGAACACACTCGTGGCATTCTACAACACAAATCAAATATTCTTCAGAAAGTTCTTCCCAAGTCTATTGCAGAAGTTCCCATAAATGTGTGGCACTTGTAGGTTTCGTCACTCTTCCATTCAGTTCATCCCAAAACCAGCTCGATGGGGTTTAAGTCTGGAGACTGAGCTGGACACTTCATGTTTTCAAGCTTTACCATCTTGTTGTTTTTTCCTGAGGTAGTTTTGGTAGAGCTTGTCCTTGTATTTTGTTATCTTTTATCTTTTATATTTTACCTCGGGATGTTCACTACTTACCTTTGTAACATTTTAAGTTATTCATTGGACTTTAACGACTTGAATTGAAATAAATAACTGGAAAAATTAGGGTGTTCTAAAACTTTTGACTGGGAGTGTACATTGTAAATTTGTATATTTATTTTACTCACATTATTTGCATGTATACTGAGCCATTCTGGAGTCATTAGAGAACCACAGAGCCTATTAATATTTGTATATATTGGACTGTATTTGACACCCTCTTTGCACAAACAAGGTTATTTGTGGTCTATTTCTTTCTACTCCTACATCTTATTTATGCGTCTGAGTTTTCAGTACTATTGTTATTAGGGCTGGGTATCATTAAGAAGTTGCCAATACGATACATATACTCGATACATAGGCCATGATATTATACATATCTCAATACAGTGAGATACGATATATTTCAAATTTATTCAATATGGTTCAATAAAAAAATATGACCGTCATACTAAAAGTCTTTGTTAAACCACTTGTGCAAAGTTAATCATCAAAACTGTGAAAATGTCAGATGTGTTGCAAAAGTGAGTTTCCATCCTCTAAACAAACAACAAAACTGTAGCACTGTAACAAAATAATTTTGTACAATATACGAAAAAATACTCTTGGCAATATATCAAAACAGTAGCACCCGATATCGAACCTGTATCATGACATTAAATGATACGATATATCAATATTTCATTATTTTTCTACACCCCTAATTGTTATCTTAAAGGTCTTATATTATGCAAAATTGAGCTTTAAACCATGTTACATTGTTTTTATCTCATCTAAAACATATCTGGAGTTGCAGTTTGTGTTTTTAATTATTAGTCTGTCTGCATCTCCAAACCTCAAATTGCTCTGTTGCATCTTGTGATGTCATGAAGTGGTGTCATAGTTCTCACATTAGCAGCTACCCTTCACCTTTAGTTCAGTAGAGACTGGCAATAAAGGTGTGTGGAGTTTAAAAACAGTGGAGCACTTCCTGTATTACCACATGACATCACAAAGTAAAACAGAGTTTTCTGTTTGAGAGAAGAGCTCAGCGTAAATATGAAGGGTTTGTGTGTTAAACATGTGTGAATGAAATAAAACACAACTCTAGGTATAATTTTGATGAGGAAACAACATTACAGCATAAATCAGCAAACAGCATACATAATATAGGCCCTTTGTTGATCTAATAAAGAAGATAGCGAAGATCTTTTATACCATGGGGACCTGCATTTGTGCCCATAAGGAAGGCAGGTTTCTATGAATGAGTGTAAAAAAAAGATTTTGATCCCCACAGTGTGATAAATACCTGCCTGCACACACAGCACTGACAAGATGTTAAGATGGAGAGCGACTTTAGCAAGACTCCTGCAGGTCCTGTTTGAACGGAAGTTTGTGTTTGCTACAAAACAACACAAGACATTACTGAGACGTTTAGAATACTGTTGTGTTTTGGTAGGAAATGTGCCCAAACAAAATGTGCTGCATATGGGACTGTCATGATAATTACAATATCGACTTATCGGTCAATAAATGAAAGCTCAAATAATATTTTTGGGTTCAGTATTATCGTAGGTAATTTTTCTTTGCATAAGTGAGAAATATATGGTTATTTTTGACCTATATGATAAGATTTGAGCCGTAAAAGGTTGAATGAATAACTTCTATGACTCATTACAGATGTAAAATACATACTGAAGTGTTTATTGCAGCTCATGTGCTTTTAACTATATTGTAGCTTTTTATAGTTTTTGAGGTTTAAATCTGCTCTTGGGTTATTGTGTCAGTGGCATAAATCTATATTTTTTTTCAGCAATATATATCAAACTTCAGATTTTTTATTGTGACTGCATGTACTAAAAAAGCATGAGTTTACACAGACTTAATCTTTCTATCCATGCACATCATATGACAATGGATTAGAAAATAGGTTTGTGTTGGGATCCATGCCAACAAATACATAACAATGCATTTCACTGAATACACTGATACCAGGCAACACACAAGTAACCAGACAGACGGGTCGTATCCATCATCATATAGTGCTGGGTAAGTGCAGTGTGCCTGTCAAATGATCAAATCACATGTGCAGTTTCCAAGTCAATGTTGTATTGTTCAGTGAATGACAGAACTATTCACAAATACGGAGAAAGGTTGAGAAGTATGTCCATTGTTTGTGAATGCTCGTGAGAACAAACTGCTGGACGAATACTGTGTAAAGGTGAGATAGACCGGTATTGATATTGCAGATATTTGAACTTTTTAGCGCATCACTCTTTGTAGACGAGCCAGCTGCAGAGAATAAACTCCAGTAATATGTAGGAATATGTATTGTAATATCAAATGGTCAAAAGTCAATCATATCGTTATGGTGCAATAAAGTTATAGTGCAGCAATAGCTAACAAAACAAAGAGAACTACATAGACCATGATCCTTTGCTCGGACTATGTGAAGAAATAACTGCTATTAAGCTATCTTATCTCTTTGAATTATAACAGTACTAAAGGTGTGTCATAGCATTTTAAAAGGAAAAAGTAGCATATTCACAATTTAATTAGACTCCACAAAATATCACAATTAAAAAATTAAATATAGTGCAGAGAGATTTTGATATTGTTACTTCGCTATTAACAGGCTGGACCAGAGCCACCCCCTGAACTGCCTGCTTCAGCACCTGTCATCGGGTCAAAGTCTGGCTGCAGGACCAAAAGACAGAGAGATAGTCTCGTGCCTGCAACTATAGTACTTTTGAAAAAGGTCACTTGGTTTAGCTAATAGTTTTTTATCCATTTTCGAATACAATACACTTTATTACCACATTTGATAAACTGTAACTGTCCAAAGTGCACACACACACACACACACACACACACAAAACAAACAAACATTAAAACAATACACATAAAAATATTTATAGTTGTCACCACGGAGATGTTATTGCTTTACCTACAGTATTTCAAAGTCTGGCATTAAATTTTGCAGTCTACATGGAAACAACAACAAGCAGGAGATGTCACCAAGACAATTTACATATGGTCATATTTTGTCACATTTATGTTTGATGCCCAGTTTCTTAAAGTGTCTATGACAGGTTAGACTACGCATTTTACTTTAAAAAAAACAAAAAACAAAAAAACAGTTAAGATCTTTGTATTGAAGATTTTTGCAAAAAACATTCACACTTGTTTTCCCAATTTGATCATTTTTACAGTTAAAATGTTATATCCTGGTACTAAAACAAACAAAACGTGACACGACACTAGAGAATACTAGTGTTGCTTGCAAAACTCGTCTTATGTACACAGGAAGTATCTGACAAATACAAATATAAGAAAACACATGTATTTTGTTGAATTAATGCTTAAAGAATCAGAAAAATGTGTTTCTTACGTGTAAATTGTGCACAACTTTTTGATAGAACTTTCAACTTCCTGTAATTTTGAACAAATTTTCAACTTTTCTTCACAAATTGCTTTTTGATTGGGGTAAAACTATAATTTATATTTACAATAGTTATAATCCCACCAAATAAAACAAATTAGAGAAACATAAAAATATGTCATATGCACTTTAACTACTGTCATCCAAATTACCCCGAGGATACAAAAAAAGACGCCTAACTCAAATCTACAGCAGTGGATGATATTTTGTTTGAGCAACCAGCTGCCTAAAAGTAGTGTCCAAAATGGCACACACAATATAATTCATCAGTGCATTTCTATTCCACCTGAACTTTGTACTCTCACATGTTGTATACAAATGTACAACTACACGTGATTCTCCTATTTGTACCAGTCTGTATCAGATACAAAGAAAACGGCATGAGTTGTGTGGTCCTCTGTGTCTTTTATTTAATTTTAATTTAACTGTATTCATTTAATAATTATTTTTTTTCCCCGCTTTATGCATTTTAATTCTTTTTGTTTGTTATTTTTATTTATGATTTTCTCTCTTTTATGTGTTAATGTGTCTGTGCAGCACTTTGGAAACTGTCATGTTTATAAAAAGTGCTCTATAAATAACGTGGACTGAATTAGATGACCAGTATGAATATATTTTCTTTTAAAGGATGTGGAACTTGTGTTCAGTGGAAATGCAGTGTGATGGTTGATGTGGTTAACAAAGTCAGTTATAACCCGTTTCAGTCCCCACAAAGGTTTCACACAACATCTCTTAGCAACATGAAAAGGTTTAAAGGTGCATTGTGTAACTTTTCTAGTGGAGGGTCCATCAAATGCTTTTCTCCATGAAAATGTCATTGCTTTGTCTGGAATGTTTCAAAGTATGCTATGAAACCTTCCTTCTTCATCGAGATCAAAGCAGACCAAGTTATAGGTCAGATCTGTGGAGAGGCAAACCCCGCTCATCATCAGAATGCCTGTTTTTCTAGATATTTTTGAGCCATAAAACCACCTGTAATTGAATAAATGTAAGGTAGAGCTGTTTAAAGTCACACTGTGGAACATTCCAAGCTAAACAATGACATATTAGGAACAAGAATGTGACTGATCCTCTACCAGAAAAGTTACACAATGCACCTTTAACCCGTCCCTTCTTTCTTACAAAGACAATAAAACCTTGATTTAATAGTTTTTTTTATTCATTGCAAAGCTACACTGAGAGTAGGAGAGTGGAATAAACACTGGGTGATCTCGTTTTCTCTATCACTGGCTCTAGACTCTGGAACAAACTGCCCCCGATATGTGCACTGTCACAGACTTTGAGCCTCAAGGCACAAAACGTATCTATTCAGACTGGTTTTCAACACTCAGTAATGCAGTGACACTTTGTAGTTTGTTTGTTTTATTTCATTGCTCAGTGTTTGTGCATATTTTTATATTGTGTTAATTTGAATGGAAAGCACTTTGGTCATCTGATGTGTTGTAAAGAGCTCTAAGATAAAGTTTGATTGATTGATTGATTGATATTATGCCGGTCCTAGAACTTGAAAAGTCAGAAAGGAGTATGTTAAGTTGAAAACTACCACACCAAGTTGGAACAGAGCATTTTGAACTTTGGAGATGTAGACAGATGAATATAAAAGGTTACTCAAACATGTGTGAATGAAACAAAACACAACTCCAGGTTTGTTTTTGATGAAATAACAGCATTATACCATGACTCAACGCTCACATTAGTCTATTTTACATAATATAGTTATTTAAAAGCAAGAATTCTACGATTTTTGGCTTTGTATGCCAAAAGTTAAACCTGCTCATTGGTTATGTCTGTGGTGTGGGAAAGTGTAGTTGTCCTCTAGCACAGGGGCTGTTTTGGGAAGAGTCTGGGTTGAATATCCTCTAAACCACTGGCCCCTTCACTCACACACAGGCACACACACATGCACACCTATACACACACACACACACACACATGCACAGCCTTTATCTGTGTATCTCACATTGTCCAGGTCCACGGGGCTGCAGCGGTTGTACATGGAGTCCTCCTCTTCGCTGAGCTTCTGACTGGAGTTTTCCTCTGTGTGACTGTAGCCGTTCCTTCGTTCCCTCAAAGTCTTGGGCAAAACAAAGACAAAGAGAAATTGTTATTTATTACTAGTAACAGGATGCAATGATATCCAAATCTCACGGTACAATATTATCATTATTTATTGCGATATTTTGGAGAGGCTGATATAATTGTAGATGCCACATGTGTTTGCTTTTAAAATACCTTAACGAGATTTTGGTGTGAATTATTTCCGTCCTAATCCCAAGAATTAACATAACATAAAAAACATCTCTCTTCATGTTGTCTGCACTGAAATGAATCATGGGATATGTAGTTCCCTATTTTTATAAGCTGTTGCTACAGTAAAACCATACATTTAAAGCAAAGGAACTTGTAATTTGATATATTGTAACAGTCCACGGTATTATTGTGAGAATTTTGATGATACAATATCACAATATTTTGGCTATTATGACATCCCTAATTATTAGTATATACTATATTATTGTTTTTACTTATTAAGGATCCAAGCCTCAAGTCATTTTGTCTACCAACATCTTAATTAGTCGATTAATTATTTAGACAACAGCAGACAGGAGAAGGCGTTGGATGAAACAGCTGGAGATTTGGAAATCAATTGTGAATTTATTCTGCCTACTTTACATACAAACATGCAATTTACACATTTTCTTGTCTTTTGAGTGCAAATTGGGTCAAAAATATATTAATGAACTCTGCATGTCTTTAGTCAATTACAGCCACATTACATTTTATTCAAAAGAAAATATTTCGGTGGGAAATACATACTGAACTGCCCATAGAAAAACAGCAAATTGAATGGCCCAATTCATTACCAAGAAGACCCTAATTATGAATGGGCCCAGTATGGTGTTACTAAGTATTTAGGTTTTCATCTTAAATTGTTCATGCCTAAAAAAATCTATATAAGTGGGTCAAGCGGTTGTGGTCATTTCATTGGACAAACAATAGCATGACTACAGTGTACAAAATGACTCATATAATCATCAGTGCATTTCTATTCCACCTGAACTTTGCTCTCACATGTTGTATATCAGATTATCACTGCACGACAGCACGCGATTCACCTGACTGCACCAGACTTTGGTTAGGAGCAAAAATAAATCAGTTCGAAGACCATGCATTTTCTGGTAAAGAATGTGATACGTGTGGTCTATAAAAATGTTTTTGTTTCAAATGGAACATAGGTGGTTTGGTTGATGTGGTCACAGAAATCAGTTTTAACCTGTTTCCAGTCCCCTCGCTACCACAATAGAACAGTTTCACATGCAGGCAGATCTGTTACCAACACAAAATGGTTCAGTGGTTCCCTTCATTGTTACACTAAGACAATAAAACCTTAATGTCAATTTTTTTTGTTTAATGCAAAATTACATTGAGCATGTATTTGTATGATTATTTTTACATATGCATTTATATAATTATGCCTTATTTGACACCAGACTCTTGCTATTTTTGCAGCTTACTTAGAATTTATTATTACCATTTATATATTTGCTCTTTATTATTATAATATATTGTGATACTTTGCCCTGTGGATCAATAAAGTTTGTCTAAGTCTATGAAATAGATCCCAATAACAGAAATTAAATGAGGTTTTAAAAAGTATAGTACAGTGCATCTATTTGCCAGAGTAAAACATACATACATACCTCTGAACAAAAGAGGAAGCTCAGTGACAGCAATTACGCATTACAAATCAGAGGAATGCTGTACTATATGGCAGCTTTTCTCTCTGGCTCTTTGGCTCTGGGACTGGCCACCTACTGTGGTAAATGTAGTAAAGTAGTGTATTTAAGTAAAAATGCTGGATACTGGAATTTATTTAAGTAGTGGACACCTCTACTTTTACTTCACTACATTTGAGAGCATGTATCTGTGCTTTCTACTCCATTACATTTTTGAAACCAACTGAAAAGTAAAGTTTTTGTTATTTTACAGTCGTTTGAGACCTGCTGAAAACACCGAGGGATTTATTTTATCACATCCACAGTTAGAGCAAACTAAAATATACAAATAAAACAGCTTGGAAAAAATATAAATTCATTTTTTTCTGTTGAACAAAATTCAGCACAAATCTTTATCAAAATCACTACATTTGAAGATTTACTAGATCTTAAAATCTGCGCAAAAAACTTAATCTTTAAGTACATTTAAAATGGTGCTTTAATACTTTTACTTAAATATATTTTTTCATGTGATACTTTTACTTGCTTTCTGGTATCTATAGTCTTACTTAAGTAACAAAATCGAGTACTTCTTCCACCACTGTTAGCCGGACTCAGTCTGAGTGAAACATGAAGCAGCCTCTTGGTTTCAGCCACACTCCAAGCTCAGAGGTTTCCCGTTTTGTTAAAAGCTTTGCCAATCCCACACTCACACACAGACGCAACACTACACCTCAAATACTACACTGTGACAAACACAGGATTAAACACATCAGTGACCTCCTGCCCACATTACTAAACAACGACTTACTCACTTATGTTTATCCATATGCAAAAGTAATAAATGACTGTGTCCACATATGACACATAGTTTAAGTATTTTTTTTGCTTTGTGGCACCTTGACTTCAAACTCTTTAAATGTGCATTGTGTAACTTTTATGGTGGAGTGTCTGACCAATGCTTTTCTCCATGGAGATATTATTTCTTTGTCTGGAATGTTTCACAGTATGAAATGTTTCTTTCTTCATGGAGACCAAACCTGATCAAGTTACAGGTCAGATCTGTGGAGAGACAAACCCGCTCACAGTCAGAACTATAAAACCGCCAGTAATTGAATAATAATAAGGTAGAGCTGTTTAATGTCATACTGTGGAACATGCCAGACAGAGCAATGACATATGCAACAGGTGACGCACCCCCAACCAAAAAGTTACATAGTGCACCTTTTTTTAAGTGGACATTTTTTACTTTTACATCACTACATTTGAGAGCAGGTACATTCTACTCCACTACATTTTTTAACGAGACTGAAAAGTAAAAAGTACGATTGTAACTATGTTTTTATTGTTATTTTTTACCATGTTCCTGGTCACAAAATTACAATATCACTACATTTTAACAAATTAGCAAAACTTGCAAAACTTTTAACTCTTAAAGTACATTTTTAAAGAGGTGCTTTAATACTTTTACTTACATAGACTGTTTAATCATGTCATGCTTTTAGGTTTACTTGAGTAACTTTTGCCTCTGTATGTGTACTTTTACTTAAGTGACAAAACTGAGTGCTTCATCCACCACTGGGAGAAACACAAAATGGAGAAACTGAGAATGCGCTGCCCATTAAGACTATTTTACTACAGCCAGGACACACCAAAACAAGCAGCAGCCTGACTCAGCAGTGGCCCTGGCCTACGTGCTACTGGTCACTGGTGAGGCCACTGTTATCTGCAAGGGAGAGGGAGAGAGAGAGGTGTGGTCAGGGCTCGTCACCTGAAAATCCTGAGGAGGAGGAGTTTATGGTGTTAGGAAACATGAGGTCACTGGCCTGAACCAGAGGGCCTTTGTGTAACTGTTTTAATGGAGAGAGGCACCACACTGCCCGGGGTTTGGCAAGGGTCAGAAGAGCAGCAGATAAAGGCAAAAAAGTTAGACTTAGAGAAGCTTTACTGATTCACAGTGGAAATTATTTGGACACTGTAGCTCACACATCACAATGCATATAATAATAAAGCGCAAAGATAAAAATGGTAAAAATTAATTCAAAATAGTAGTAGCAAAAGTAACAAAACAATGGATATCAAATGGTCTCCATGAGATAGGGATGCAAAAAAAATCTAATTGTGATTTTTCAAACAGAATTATGATTAGAGTTGTGATTTATGTTTAAAAACTAGGCTTTTCAATTCAAACTAGGCGATTCAATTTCAAGATCCCCGTGCATTTCAAAACATTTGTAGATGTCTTTTTCCCAATCAGGATAATGAAGGAAACATGATTTTAACTTCATAGTAGATGTTAACCTCTAATGTTAATCATTAATCACTACATTTTGGCCTTCTTTTCATTTTTTTTTTTTTTTTTTAACAAATCATCACAGTGAGTATGCTTGCATTTCCACAAACCCAACTCTTATTTGGCCTGGGGGAGGGTCGACTCCTGCCTGTCAGGTACATGCCACTTCTAGATGGTTATATGGTGCTAGATTTAAAAAAAACTGTCTCAATCTTTAAGTCTATCGCTCGGTTTCAGATGACATCAGACCATTTTATTCCAATGATATTTCATACAGATAGGGGCAGCTAAAATTAATATTGTTAAAATGCAAGTTTCTGTTGTAACATGGTGAGTCACTGATAAAAATTATCAGGTTCAACATTTGTTAATTTACCTTTTATATATTTGAAGGGAAAGTACAACGTAATCAATTGCTGTGTTTCACATGACATTAAAACATTCTATACGGCCAGTATTATTTAATACAGATGTGAGGCAGCTAAAATGAATATTGTTCAACTACAGTTTTTGTTGTAATACAGCGTGATCTTGGGTCCAGTCAATAATAAAAATGATCAGGTTTCATATTTGGGAATTTACGTTTCAGATATTTCATGGGAAAGTACAATGTCATCACCCCATCACACATCATCAAATCATCACTTCCTACAATCTGAAAAACACCAATGTACACGCTACACGCTACACACTCCTGATTAACACTAACCCACTGACTTTGATATGGAGGATCTCTGAGGAGCTGACAGAGCAGTGACTGTACAGGCAGGGTCACGTCAGGCAATACAATCTGCTTGAGAGAACCACACAAACCAGCAAAATAACAACTAAATCAGGTTTTATGGCTGGATATGTCATAATGATACAAGGCTTAAATTAAACCCATGTGTGAATTTCACATTAAAGACAATCAAATTAAGTTTTTAATTGATTTTATTGCCAAATAAATACTGGAGAAGTTTATATAAAGATACTGGACAGTTTTTCATATTGGCTGTATGCTGTAGTTAAATTTGTTTTACTAATTAATGCAATAAAGAAACTGTAATATTATTTTGAACTTGC